GGCCCGCCGGGAAAAAAAAAAAAACCGTGACCCTTAACCGGACCGGATTGGCCGCGGTCTGGTTCTCGAACCCGGTACTATTCATGCCGGTACCGGTACCGGGCCGGGCCGATTCGGTACCCGGTCACGGGTCGGGCCACGGGCCGGGCCGCCCGTGGCCATGTCTATACCATCCTCGATGATGGGATTCCCAATTAATCCATACAATAAAGTTTGCCATATAAAACAAGACGTGACCTTGCATCATTGATTGATATGACTTTACTAAAATACGGAATGCAGAAATTATTTCACGGTTGTAATTTAAATATTGAGAAAAAAGTTTGCTAAATAATTTCAAAGGTTGGAATAAAAAATGATGAGAATGAAACAAGCAAATCAAATTCAATTTTAGAATTTGAAAGGGGGGAACTCCAAAGTCGAATTTCAAGTGCATATGAATTGACGTGTTGGACTTTATTAACGAGATATTATAATAACAATAATTGAAAAAGAAAAAAAAATATAATTTTTAAACTCGGCCCAGAAATCGACCTGGACAGGTCTCCGAGTCAATGGCCCAGGTCGACCGGGTCAAGACCGAGTTGGCTGAGTTTCGAGCGAGTTTGACTGGTTCATTGTCATCCGGTCTAAATAGCCAATCCGGACCGATTCCGACTGGGTCGATCGAGTCTCGAGTCAACCCGCCGGGCCAATCTGGATTGAAAACAATGAAAAAAAGAAAACAAAGATAGCATAGATGTATAGCAAAAGAGTCCATTGTCACGTTTTTAGGTTTTGACTCTTTGTTTGGAATTTATGAGGGCTCTTTTGGATTTTATAAATGATAACATATGTATGGGAATTAGGAGAGCGAAAATGAAATAAAACATACGTTTGCATGGATATTTCGTGACCGACTTGATTCTGTTTTAAATTTTAATATTTTTTTATCAGTAATGGTTTGGATTCATTAAAAAACAATTTTGTTGTTTACTTGCCTTCCTCATTCGCATTTAGTCTTATCAAACAACATATGTCTATTGTGAGTCGGGTTTCGTCTTGTTAAGTCTCGTTAGGCTTGATAAATATATTTTTTTAATACAATTTTTTCTTTTTTTTTTGAATTTTTAACATAATTCTTTAGCTTGTTAAAATTCAATCTCGACTAGTTGAAATGCCTAATTTAAACTCGTTTAGGAGGTGATCGATTGGTAGGCGACCAAAATTGGTTTTGATCGATCAGAATTTGACTCACTCACTTTAATTTAAAATAACTCAAATTTAATTCGACTTCACTATATTCAATATTATTAATATAATTAAAATAATATCAATAATATCTCTCCGACGTTACATCAACTTTAATTTACTATTTATTCATTCACATATTTTTAAGTACCTAACTATTACTTCAATTATCTCTTTTATTTTTACATTACATCAATTTTAATCACGGCCATTTTAAATGTTATTTAAATTCAATGTCTTTCATCTCACTTATCAATTTTATTCGACATAACTCACTTCAATTCAAGATTCAATTTTAATCTATTTTTAGTGACTCACTACCGATCATCACTTTATTATTATAAAAAAAAAAAATTAAGGGTTG